CTCGTCAGTATGAGAGTAAAAATCCAGTGGGAAGGGATCCTGTTCCTAGTTATGATACAACCTCGGTTTCAAACTAGGGTGTCCCTCTCAACCCATCTCTAGAGTAGATGCTTTAGATTGTGTGAGTTATCTTGACTCTATCCTATTAGCTGTAAAACCCCATACAGATAAGTTAGTTTGCAATGTAAGTGTTCTCTGGTCCTTAATGAGCAACACTACAAAGCACTGCAACTCATTTTTTTAAAAGTCCTATACTAATCTTTGCTAATCCATACAAATTGAATTTAAACCAATGATAAAAAATTTCTCCTTTGAAGAAAATATCAAGTAGTGCAGCAATTAACATGTAAAATAAGACTTAATTGGTTCAGTCTCCAGTTCCACTGYTGTTAGTCTCTCATAACCGTAACACAAGTGTCTTGCAATATGTGTGTTCAGAGCTTTGCCCTTCCAGAGGGATTGGAAGGAAATATATGAAGGAAGAGAGGTCACTTGCTTCTCAACACAAGATCCAATGTGCATCCCAGTCCTTCCAACACACAGCATTACCATCAATTCCTTAAGCACATATCTGGCATTACCTCATGGCCAATTTTAAGCACATGATTTTAAAATCCTGCACCATAACTGCAGTGTGAACTCTAGACTCATTTGCTGGGGCCTCCATCAATTGCAAGAGAAGCAGAAACCCCCTGTACAGCACCCAGGGCAGATAATACAGTGGCATTCCAAGAGAGCTAACTTCTGCTTGGTGCCTAGGAGGAATATTTCTTCCCCCACACATCCTTTCAAACTCTAGTTTTATTACACTGTAAAGTGAGGTTGTGGCCTCGATTCATTTTTCTACTCTGGAGATTTTCCCAGCCACCAGTGCATATTTGCAAGCAGCATCTGCAGCGTCAAACCAACCTCCATAGGATTCTTCTCCCTCCTGTATAACTATGTTTWCTGCTCCCTTCACTGAATTAAACCTCTGCCCAGCACATATTTAGTCTTCCATGCTTCAGTTCATGGATAACTTCTTTGGGGTCAGTAATCAATRAAAGTTTAAGTGAAAACCATGAACTGCACTACAGTCGTATTTAGTTCTCAAGTAATCAGAGCTGCACTTTCACATAGTTTAGTACAAAATTTAGTGTGTGTCTGGGTGCAGACACTTGCATTTCAGTTTTTGCTTGCAAATCTCATGTGCACATTAACTACCCCATATGCAGGGAGCAAAACCTGAAAATCCAGCTTGAAAATCCTCCTCTGGAGGAGCTCCCTGCATTCCCTGCCCTGCAGCCRAGCACTCCGCCTTGGATCCATCACYGCAGAGGTGCCAGCTGGTGCAAGGCACTTGCTCAGGCCTGCAGGTGAGCTATTACTTCATTATTTACACCGTTCCATCATTTACATGAAGGCTTCCTCATGTGTTTCTAAACCTCCTCCTTGCCTTAGATCAGTGCTACTGAGAACAAACAAGCCTGCTCCTAAATACTGCTCCCTGCTAAGCAGCAATATAGACAGACTTTAAAGTAAAAACAGTTCAGACAGCTGGGTAGCAAGAAGGGTACTGTGAAGGGCAAGCCATTTGTATTTGCCTTTTCTTATTTAATGCAGTGTGCTTCTCTGATGGGTAAGAAACACTCAAGTCTAGTAGTAAAATTGTTTGCAACAGAGACAAGGTGCTTTTAATCTTAAGGTACATTTTATCACTGCATAAACTAGAAAAAGATCATGTTTATGCATGGAAAACAGATCAACCACACAAGAATTCAAAGGGTCAGCAAGAAATACCCCAGGTGCATCATGCCCTGGCTGTGGGTCCATGCACCCAGGATTGCTCAGGTCCAGTGCACCGAGAACTTTCCACTGGACACAAGACTCCACTGGCCTTCATGTCCACCCTTCTTGGGACTCCAGTGAGTGCCTGTTTCAGTGCCACAAGCACTGAAGGTAAGTGGTRCAACAGAAATATTGAACCCAGGCACCAGCACAGGTCCATCAAGCCTTTTGCAAAAATAATTTCCTCTGGAAAACCCCAGCAACAGCCAGGTCTGTTGAGGACAATAATATTAGAACATTATTTTCATTGGTATTAGTATAAAAGCTAAGCTTTCAAATAAAATTAGTTTCTGAAATATTAACTGCCTTGATGCATAAAGTCATGAACACATTTCTTTTTAACAAAGCAAAGAGTGGGGAAATGAAGAAAGTTTTAGCATAGAAGAAACAAAACTGCATTATAGCAACCAGCCTACCCCAATCCTTGTGAACTTGCACAGTACCAGCAAAAGAGGCAATGCTAGAAAAACTAACACTGCATCCTGAATCACTCCTTATTTGATCTGATTTTACATAAATTTAGGAAGCTGCAACCCAGGAAGAAGTCACTGCAGTCTCAGTGAGGAGGAAAGACACTGACCATCCAGGGCAAAGCCAAGATCACCCATGGACAACTTCACACACAAGTTGGTTAGAAGTAGCCAGACCTCAGCTCAAGCAAGAGCTTTGATGGGCTGCGCTCCAGGGCAGTTATTCCTCCAAGCCTACAAAGCTCGCTCTCACTTGCTGGGCTSTATTGAGCTAATCTTTTAAGTTAGGAGGAGAGAAGAAAAGAGAAGCCACAAAACCCAACACATTGACAATATTCTGCGCTGCTCATAAATTAAGGCACAGAAGACTTCAGCTCAATATCCTTAGGAGGTGACAGGTTACAAGTCCTCCCCTCCAGAATAAGGAACTTTAGTACATTTAGCATTCAATTTCTGTGAATAAAATACTAGTTATCTTCCATATTCCCACCACACTTGAATTACGCAGCTTCCTCATCCTGTCCTCTGCTCCTCTTCCTCCCAGCTTTGTTCCTTTACAGAAGGAAGGAGAAAGAGGGAAAAGGAAAACCCACACACATGCACCCACTATAGCACTGATTACTGGCAGGAGGACACAAGGGCAGCTTCTCACTCCTCCACTCGCCTTCCTGCAGGCTGACAGGTAATTTAATTGGTAATTTAATTAAGAGCTTACTGCTTTGAAACAGAAATTCACACAGGTGTAAGATCTGCCATAACAGAGAAAAATTACAAACATCAGTTCAGAAATAACTGACAACAGGAGGAATTTGCTACTAAACTGCATTATGCATCATAAGCATCTAAGTTGCACTAGGAAGGATTGCTTCAGGTGCTATTCTATAGCATGATGTCAGCCTTGCATTGCAGCCAGCCCTAAGTAAGAGCATCTGTTTAAATCTCTGGCCTGGCTTCCCACTAACATGACAGCTGATTCCTAACAGGAATTGATATCAAGGAACTCAATGGACACATAAATCCTAATAGAAATACTTTTTAGGAACTGAATCATCAACCAACACTTCTCAAATTGAGCAAAAGGAAATTCCTAAGGAAATAAGGACAGTTTGATTTGGGGGAAGGGAAGAACCACCAAAGTAAACCTCTAACTTCACCATTTCAGAGCAACTACGCGCTACAGAAAAGTTATCACATGAAATAAATGTTTACCTGGCCTTGAAAGGTAGACATATAACCTGTTAAGTATTTCATTTCATTACTTAGTAAGCTACTCACTACAAACAAGTTAAAAATAAATAGAGTTTAAGAYCTAAGTCAAGAATAAAAGGCTGAACTCAGGTACCCTTCAACAAAACCCCGGCCACATGGCTCAGCTGAGAGCAGGGAAATTATTCCCTAGGCTCCATGTAGAAGCCTCACAGGTTTACAGCCAGCTAATTCTACAAAACAATATTGCATTTATCTCAARTTAAGACTAAAGCTAAACACTGGCTATGGCTTTGACAACAGAACTTGCTATCTAGTTTTAGAAAAGAGCTTTGGGAATTGTAACAAAACAACCCTTAAAACTACTCATCTGGAGGGCCTAAGTAATTGAAGAGCTAGTACCAAAGCAGAAAAGATTCTGCTTTTTACTAAACAGCTACAGCAGATTTTTTTTTTAAATAACACATTATGAAATTTCCAAATAATCTTCAAAACAAGACTCTGTTTCATTTAATGTTATTTTCCAAACTCTCTGCAAAGCTCTTAGCAAATGCATTTGGATGCTACAATCCAGCTTACCACTGCACTGTGACCCTGAAAGTGCTGCTAATTCACCAGCCTTGAAAGAAAAACAGAGAAAACGGTCTTTTCCCCCCTCAACTCTTAGCCTTTCTCCTAATAACAACCTAAACCAGGCTGTTTTCAATTAACTGGATCATTAAAATTTTAAAATATTTTCTGCGAGTTATTTTTGTMAAGTGTTGCTTTCTTTGACAACAATGTTTTGACCATGAAAACCCATGTAAACTTCTAAAAATTTGTTTGTRTAAATATGCATTATCCTAAGTACCCAAGTCATAATATCTTTGTAGCAGGTGTGGGTTATATCACTAGGTTATAAGCCTCCCTAGAAATAACATACCGCTCCAGACAAGGTTTTATGGAAAAAATGCATGCCTCTGTCTTGTTTTATTTGAGGTTAGTAACAGTTCTGTTTTGTTTTCTTTTTTTAACTAAATATTTGGAGCATATTTTGTTCCTCACTTGAGGATCTCATCTTACACGCACTCCCATGCTATTCAACACACAAGTGCAAATATTAAAACCAACATAGGACTGTGTTCTTATCTGGCATAGATGAGTCTGCATCCAATACACTGGAAATCATGAGCTAATTTTTTTTTTTTTTTTTGCTTAGCATTTAAACTGATTAAGAAAAGAAATCAAACGATCAGACTGACTTTTCTACCTTTTTATAGTCTTATCTTTTCGCTTGGAGACGAAAATTTAACAGTTGCTAAGCTGTAATTAGCCTATTTCTCCTGCTTTCAGATAAGAGCATTCAGCTTTCCAACAAAACCAAAGAATATTTCACTCTCTAAACRCATCATTAACCCATCTCCAAGCATCCCAAGCTCGGGATCTTTGATATTTAATAGGAAAWAATAATAATAATGATAGTAAAAATAATAGCTTGCAGCTAAACAATGCASTTACCTCCCTCTTGCATCTCCAGCTGGGCTTGCATGGGGCAATGTTGGTGAGTAGCAAGGAGGAGGTGGCCCATACATGGCCCCTTCCATGGGCATCAGACCTAGACCTTGGTGACCAGGACTCTTCCCACAGCATCCAAGCAGAGTAGCGGCCAAGAATCCAAGTTCTCAGGCAGACCCACAGCAGCAAGGAAGCCCCAAGTGAAGGCAAGAACATGAGCCAGAAATGAGCCCAAGGGTGGAAACCAGGGTTGGACAGACCAGTGATGGCCAACAAGGCTGCTAGAAGAAGGTAGGTCCAAGAGGAGCCAGTCCAAACAGATCAGGGTCTAAATCCAAAGGAGCTCCAGCCAAGGTGAGCAGACTGATCTTAGACAAGTTGTGACCACCCTGGGCAGAGCTGAAATAGGTGCGTAAGAGGGCAGGGGTGGCTCCAGGGGAAGCAGGTGGGGACCATTTAGGGCCATTATTGTCCTCAGGAACCTCATTCCCATTCAGTGAGCTGCAGCTGAAGCAAATAATCATTTCCCTCAGGAGAAAAAGGGAGCAGCAGATTTCAGAATGCACYTTGTATTTCACAAGGCTTTATAGGTTGTAGCACCAAGTTTTCAGCAGGTGAACACTATAGGTAGCTTGTTTTTGTAGCCCATAGCTTATGTAGGAAACTGTTGCAAGAAGAGTAGCTGAGGCCAATTTGAGAAGGTTGTGAAAATGAAAGGAATAAAAATGGTTCCACTTAGGGCTTTTGAAAGCTAAAATGTTGAATTTGACTCTAAGGAAAAAGAGAGAGAGAAAAAAAAGCCATTTTTTAGGAGCCATCAACCTCCTTGCAACTCTCCCTATGCTGTTGGCTCCAGGTGTCCTAGGATTGTGTGAGTCTCAGCTGGTGCATGAGGATCCTGGAGAGCTGCTCATAAATGTCTTTTTGGTTTGATTTTGTTTTCTTTGCCATGGTCCCAGGTAGGGAAGGAGGTGACTTCCCGCAGGTTCCCATGTGCACTAGGATCCCACTTGCTGCAAAAACTGGAAAACATTAACAGAAATGGCCACATGGGCCAGCCAGGCTCAGGCCTCTGACCTTGATTTTAGGCTTATGTTAGGTGCAATGCATTTTTTTTGGAAGTTTATTATGCAATTGCATATCTGACAAACAGATTTGTCTATTACCTAGTTACATTACCTAGATCATAACTAGTTACCAACTRTTAGTCTAATTAATCTATTACCTAGACTCTTAACTAGTCAATTTCTAGTCCAATYCCTATTTTTTCTCGATAAATAATTAAAAAAAAAAAAAGAAAAAAAGTCTGTTCACCTTTTGTTAGAGAGCATTGCTAAATAATATAATGAAGTTTTGGGTTGGTTTTCAAATKAAAAAGAAGTTGTGCTTAGGTAATGGACATACGCTTAGAGGTGCATATAAGCAGTGTGTATAAGCACTGTTAGCCAGTGAAAGAACTTGCTTCCCAGCTGGATTGTGTCCTCAATTTACACTTAGGAAGAAGAACTCCTTGTGCCCCCAGGGCCGCTGCGCCACACTCAAAATGCCGACCACATTCCGCCCTATCTGCTCCGTGCCACACTCCTACGCGCTTCCCATCCTCATCAAGGATTGGCGCGTTGGACTGACAATCCACAGCGTCAGCCAATCAGCTCTCCCGCTCCGGGCCTGGAGGCGGCGCCGCGGCCTGGCGGGGCGCAGGTAGTGAGATGAGTTGCTTGGGCCGCTGCGCGGGCCCGCGGCGCCTGCTGCGCGGGGCCTGGGCCGCGGCGCGCTCCCGCTCCGCGCTGGCGGCSGGCGCGGACATGGACGTGGCGGAGCTGCTGCGGCGCTCCGTGCCGCCGCTGCCGCCCTACGAGACCAAGGGCAAGGCGCCGGGGGCGGCGGAGCCGCGCGGCGCCGAGTTCGTGCGCTACTACCGCGGCCTGGAGGGCGGGCCGCGCCGCGCCGAGCTGCTCGCCCGCCTCGCCCGCGACTTCGGCGTGGAGCACGGGCGCGTGGCGGAGCTGAGCGCCAAGGTGCTGCGGGCGCGCGAGCAGCGCAGGGAGCCCGGCGCCCTGCTGCACGCCGAGGACCGGCTGCGCCACTACCTGACGCCGCGCTACCGCGGGCTCTTCCAGCAGCTCGGCCGCCTCGAGGGCGGCCTCCGCTTCCTCGTGGAGCTGCGCGCCGACCTGGTGCACGCGCTGGCCACCAAGGCGCTGGACGGGCCGCACGTCAAGGTGAGACGTGGCGCCGCAGCGGCGCGAGGCCCCGGGCACGGCCTTGGCCTTGGGGGCACCCCRAGCCCAGCCCCGCGCCATGGGTCGCTCCTGGGTGCCTCAGTTTGSTGGAATCCTGAAACATCCCCGTGTGTCTGAAACGGGAGAAGTTGGCAAGGTCACACAACAGCCAGGATAGGGGCTAGACCCCACGTCGTTCAGTGATGTTCYCTACTCGTTTCCACGGCAAGTTGGGTTGTTTGAAGCAAAAGCAGATGGGTTCTGCAAAACCCAGCACAATAATGTATAGAGCAGGTGAATGCAAAGATATCAACTGATAACGCTGATCACCTGGCGCAGCATGTTGAGAAATGTACCCTACCTGTTTGAATGTAGGGAAAAAGCGTTTTGAAATTTAAAACGTTATAAAAGAGGGTTTCATGAGCGCCCTTCTGTTGCATTTTCATACCCAAATATCATTTTGGAGTGCTTGGTTGGACTCGATGACCTCGGAGGTCCCTTCCAACCTTGGRCATTCTATGATTGGTTCCATTYGGYATAACATGAGCAGGCTTCCTTCAGCATGCCTGTTCTTTTGCACTTGCTGGCATGTTGGCTTGTTCAAGATGCTGCAGGAAATGTGCAGAGGAACAGAATAYATCATCAACCCTGCTGGGGTTTGAGGTTTGCCCTTGCTGTTACAAAACCGCTTGTATTTAGTGCTCTTTTGCTCATGGGCTGATCTCTCTGTCTCACCAAGGGGATTCGGTATCCTTTTGTAGAAACTAAGTTGAAACAAAAGTAAAGAAACTGAAATTTACGCAGCCAAATCAAAACAGCTGTATATTTGTATGGGAATTTTAATTATAGGGGGTTTTATTTGTCTGAGAGCGAAAGTGAAATAGCTTTCTCATCAGAGAGGCAGATTTTCTTAATCAAAGCTTTTAATCTCAGTCTTTTCTAAGAGATTTCCCATTTGTTGCCCCCAAACAGGCAGGTCATGGGAAGTTCACAAAGCGTGTGTTTTGCTGTTTATAGCAGGATCATGGAATAAAATAAATCACAATATACTTAATGATAGAAAGCAAAGAATATCAGAGGAATTTTAAATGCTGCTCTGAGTATGCCTCATTGCTCAGCTTTAAAATTGGGATGTGGAATAACATGTGTGCATTTATTGTTTTTTAAATGAAATGTCTCCAGTCCTTTTCCTTGAAAAGATAAATATTGAAGTGTAATTTGACGGCTAGAAAGACCTTTGAAATGAGAATTAGAATTTACTACTGGTGCTCTGGAAGGCAGATGGATGACAGGAGGGCTATAGGAATCTGTTGGTTTGACCCCAGCTCTGACAAATGTAGCTTGTTTTTCTGCCTCACAGGGTGCCCTTACACACGAAAAGAAAACAATCAACCCTGAAATACATAGAGACTTTCACTACACCAAGGGATATCTGATCAAAATGATTTATAGTTATTTTGTAGAACTCGAGAGCTGTGCAGAAACAAGGATTCACAGGGGAGCTACCTTAAAGTCAGAATAAGCAAAGCAAACAGAATGCGCTTGTTGAGTTCTACCTGTACAGTTACAGTGGAAAAAAACTGTATTTAAAGGGAGAAAAAAAAAAAGGAAAAGAAAAACCGTACTCACATTATTTTTCTGGGAAGAGTTAATTTAATTATAACTTTGAGTGGGTTGGGATAGGTGGAAATACCTGATTGCAGCTGATGACAAGCACAGTCTGGATCTGCAAGTTTTCAGGGTTTTTTAGTATGCGGAATTAAACTAGCTTTTGGTCATAAAAGCCGTCTTCAGCCTTTACTTTTTTTTTCTTTTTTTTTCTTTTCCATCTTGGAATATTTATAGCAATTACTCTTAGGCAACAGGAGTCTCCTTTGATGTGTGTCTCTTAAAAAGTGCCTCTATGACTTTCATCTTTTTTAGGATATGATAGGAAATCTTTTTGCTTTCATAGGAATGTTCTGAGACTATAATTCAACTTTGGAAAGAAGCTTCAAGTAGTAATTGTTGGTTTCTGGATGGATTTATGTGTTGCTTTTGTCCTTGCTTAAATGTAGCAAACCAAGGTATCTTGGAGCATCATTTTTGTTTCTCTTGTATAACACTGGCAATTTAACAAAGGATGGAAGAGAAATTTGGGAGGTTTTGTTTTTTAAATAGTGAATTTAAGTTTGGTTCAGGAAAGCCTCAAGTTCTGACCAAGCTGCTGGTACTTTATTGGTAGTATCATAGTATATCCTACAGGCAAAGCAACAGAGAAGAAAGAACATCTTAAATATCTCTATCTTAACGACTTATCCTTGCTGAGTTGAGTTCAAGAAGTCTTTCTAAACTCAATTCAGAGTTTTTAGACAACTAAAAATAATAAAGGCAGCAGAAATCTGAAGGCTTTGTTTCTGTCAGACTTCATGGCATTTAAATTAATGCATCTGAGCAGCTCTGCAGCTGCTGTCTGATTGTCAAGACTTTAAAAACTTCTATTTAGTATCTCCTTTTCATCTTGTTTATTTTGCATTCTCTTCCATTCCATTTCTGTGGTTTATTACTGGCTCTAAATTCGCTGTGTCTGGGAAATATTTGCATTACTTTACTCCTGTTTGAGGCTAGCTTGAGCTGGTATGCAGTTAATCTTCTTGAACAGAAGCATTATTTTCCCTGAGTTTCTCAGCGTTGTAGTTGGAAACAGTCAAGACTTTCTTTGCTCACATTCCTATGTTCCACCTAGCTTATTTATCAAGAGAGTCAAATTTTCTCCCCTTTATTTTTTTTTTTTCTTTTTCTTTCAGGAAATGAACGGAGTTCTAAAGAACATGCTTTCAGAATGGTTTTCGACAGGATTCTTAAATTTGGAACGGGTCACTTGGCAATCGCCTTGTGAAGTTCTCCAAAAAGTTAGTGAGTAAGTGTTAGAAATTACCAGCACTTGTGCAGATGTGATTGTGCAGATCCACTGTGTGCTTTTCAATATTGAACAATAGCCCAAGTATCATTATGAAATAGTCTCACTGAGCTTGCTAAAGAGCAGTCTTATAAAACCTGAATTGAACAAATAGCAAAGAGGAGCACAATCCCATAATTTGATCTGCAGACCTTTTCGAGGTAGGCCACTTTCCTTCCCCCTGCTCAGTTTTCTTCCCCTGCCCTGGGCTTTTGCTGTTACTTTTCCCCCAAACAGGTTCTTCTCACGCTCCATTTCAGCTGCTGCCACCACCACCTCTTCCATAACTGCTGGCACCTTCTTCTCCCTCCATCCTTCCTAAGCCATAAAATTGGTGCAAAAACCAGTATTTTTCAAGTCTGATGCAGTTTACAGTACAGTGGGGCTTACACTCCTGTTTGGAAACAGCGAAGTGAGGTGCCCAGAATCAGCTGTAAACTCTGTATAGAGAGAGCGCTTAGATGATGCTGATGGTGGTGGTTGTTTATCTCAGTAAACATATCTTAAAAACCTGCAATATTAATTTCTGACTTGATCGATATAATTTGGAATATTTTAAAGTAGAGGATGACTGAAGAAGGCATTTTGTCAGTAGAAGGAATGCTAAGCTTGTATGGTGGTCAGCTGGCTTCCATTTTAAAATGAAAAATGTAATATTCTTTTTCCATTGAGTTCTGAAGCTGTGCATCCTGTTAGAAACTGGCTTGATATGAAGCGTCGAGTTGGGTCATATAGAAGGTGCTACTTTTTTTCTCACTGTGCAATCCCGGGAGAACCACTGATAGTCTTGCATGTGGCACTAACCAGTGAAATCTCCAGCAGCATCCAGGTACAGTCACTGATATGTTCAGTACACAATGAAGTGCTTAAATTGCAATACATACCTTTTAGAAACCGTAATTCCTAATACTCGGGAAGTATTTGGTTCCCATCATTTTGAAAAACAATATGTGGTATGTTGTGCTGATGGTGTCCTAATTTAAGGAAAAAATAGTGATTGTGATGTAATTAATTGCATGGATGTATTTTTCTTGAGAAAGCATCTCTGAGGGGATTTATTGTCTGATGATTTATTGTTTTGAATACAACAACTTTACAGATTCCTGAAACTAATTAGTGTTTCTAGTGTGCAAAAAACCTCAGTAAAACAAATGACTTTGTTTTACTGACTCCAAGTGATTTAGCCCTTATTGTACATTTTTTTCCCCATTGTGTATTTCACCCAACCTTCATTGCTGTGGGTGATTAATTTGTCTACGAATGAAGTTTCAGTATTTAGAAAGTGAAAATGGAGGCATATTTGTTTGCTGAGAAAATATTTTTGTTCGGCCTGTCAAATTAGCATTATCACTTAGTAGTATAAGAAAAGAAAGTATATGAGAGTAAAACTCAGTTATGCAGTTATGTTTGCTTTTGAAAGTTTCTACAATTATTATTTTCTGTGCTTTGTAATAGGTAAGCAGGTCTTCTTGTTTCTGACTAGATAATTATTGTTCTTCAGAGAGGGCACTGAATAAAACGGTAGTAAAAATGTTAATAAAACTGCAAGTTGAAAAGAAGTCCCAGTCCCCCATAATGATACAACTACTAAGTTTTTTTGCTTCTTATTTTCCCAGGCCATAGTGAAAGAAGTTCATCCTGTAGAAACTGAAGATCTGAACAAAATTACAACAGCAATTTTCTATTCAATCAGTTTGACTCAGCAAGGACTTCAAGGTGTTGAACTTGGGACTTACCTCATCAAACGGGTTGTAAAGGAGCTGCAGGTAGGTGTGGTGAGTTGCACTTGAGATGTTGTTTGACCAACGTGCTCTTCCTGCATTCCTGGAGTAGTGTCCATTAAATATCATAAAATATGGTAAAAATCCTCCTCTTTGTGTCTCTGAAATAAGCAATGAGTAGCAAACACTTTGACCAAAAAGCGTTTGAATGCCTAATTATGGTATTACTGCCTCCAGCTCCCGAAATGTAGTTAATATTGAAAACTAAACATATTTCGTTCAATGCCAAAGATAGCATTCTACTTTTCCACTTACTATTCGAATACCATTTCAAATTATTGTGAAAAATATATAACTATAGGTAAGTTTTTGCATGGAAAGTCTGTAATCAACATCCTTAAAATTAATAGGTTATGAAATTGTGACAAAGCTTATACTGTGCTTATATTTCTAATATTTCAGATATAATTCAACTACCTGGAAAAGTGTTAAATTGCACAAATGAGATGCATATTTCTTTGTCATATGTGTGTTGTTACAAGAAGGATGATTTTATGCTGTTTCTTTGTAACATGATGTTGCCTACCTGCAGAGAGATACTCTTTTATATTTTTAGGTACTTTTGGAGTATACTCTTTAAAGGTTTTAACCTTTGAAACAAGTTTTTTTTCCTGTTATTCAGGAGCAACCACGAGTTTCTGTTTTGTTATTCCTCATTCAAAAAGTGTATTGCACAGATAGCATTTATTCTGGCGGAGTGAACAAACAGTGACAGTTCATCATGTATTGCTGGAAGTTTTAATCTATTTTTATCCTCAAAACAGGACCAGATACTTTTTTTTTTTTTTTTGAAGATGTACTTCAGTCAACCTGACCTTATCAAGCTGAGTGCAGGTGAAAATTTATGATACGGAGCACAAGCCACTATTACAGGGGGTCAGAATAGATGACCCAGTGGTTCTATCTGACTTAATAACCTATTAAAACCAGCTTTTATTTACAACTCTGATTTTTCTTTATTTTTCACCTTTTGATCAGACCTTTTAAAGTTAAGTGCTGGTCATACTAATTTTGTCTCACTTTTACAGTGTTAATCGCTTTGTAGACTTTTCCTCTGGTTCATAGTCCATTTTCATCCTCTTCCCCCAGTTCACTTGTCTAGCTGTACAACTCTTTTAAAATTACCTTAAGAAATAAATTAGTGTTCAAGAGGGAAAACCCCAGTTTCAGTTGTTTTTTCTTTGCTTTTTAAAAGTGAAATTTTTGGTCAGAATTTCAGTATTTGTGCAGTGGTTCCTTTTTGTAGAAATTGAAATAGATCTGAATTCTGTAATTACAGATTTCAGTGACTTTGTGTTTTTTCCTTGTCGTAAGACTTAAGAAACATTGTAAAAATCATAATACATAACATTTTCATTATTTTTTGTTGTAATGAATTAACACATCTTTCTAGGGCATAGAATACCAAGCATACTCGTGTCCCGTTCTTTGGTTGGAATTTCTTGCTGCTCGAGTCAGAAGTTGCTATAATTTTTTTTTTTTTTTTTACTTTAGTCAGGAGAATTAGCTGTTGTAGTTTTAACATTAATTTCAGAAAACAAAAATCATTAGTTTGTTGTGTTCATTAATAGTGTCTAAGATGTGTATGAAAATGGATCCATATCTCCTGCTTTCCTTCCTTTATCGAATGCAAAGAACAGTTAGTTACCCCTAAGAAATCTGAAGCAGTAAGTTAATATGTTAAATTGCACGGTGATAAAATCCATTAGCCAGTCACATTTTTAATCACAACCATAAAAATAAGGTATTAACTTAAATCCAATTTTTGTTCTGCCGTATGGTTTAAAAATATGGCAACTCATCAGTCATTTCTTGCCACCTGAGCAACTTCAGACACTGTTTTTTCCAGCTTGTACCTTGTAGAGTGAGATCGCTTCTTTTTTACTTCTTTCTCTGGTTTTACAAAATCAGAAACCTACTCTATTACTGTGGCTGTGTTTAATGCAAATAATGATGGAGGCATAGCACAAGAAAAGGCTTTTTCTTACTGATTTCAGCACATTTCTGGTCCCAGATCAAAGCATGGCCTGGGTTTACTTTGTGGGGGTGTGGGGAACAGATGGATCCACAAAGGATGTGCCACAAAGTGACACTCTCTGTCCCCGCTGAATGGATGTGAAGCAAGAACGTACAGAAATGCTGTGGTTACAATACATTTCACAAATCTTCTTATGTGATAGGAGTTTATAATTCTGGAAAGCCAAGACAGCAAAAGTCCTCCATTTACGTGAATGGCAAACTGTACATTTTTTATGAGGTCTGAAGTAAAAGAGGAAGTTTAATCCAAAATTGTTTTAAGCACCGCTTGTAAGTGCAGGAGAGTAAGGCTATTTGAGTCTATAGCTGCTGTGTTAAAATGGGCTTAATCCTTGGCCTGTTGAAAATGGGCAGAGATTTTAATGAAGGACCATGTTAAAACCATTTTAAAGTACAGCAATGTCCATATATATTTTCTATTTTCTATTTCTATCATAGTCATGTAGCTTTTCTTGTGTAAGTGTGATTCTCATCTCCTTGAAAGTGCTGCTGCGTGGCTAAGGGTACCAAGTTACATATGTTGAGACGGTCTTTAATTGAACTGATAACAAAATACTTGGCGAAGAAGAGGCTGTTTCAAAGGGTTGAAGAATTTCTGTTTTTCTTTACATTCAAACAGTTGAAGTTTAATGCACTTTCCATAGCTTGCTGTTTGTTTGGCCTAACTTGTGTTGACAGCTGTGTGATGTGCAGAATATTATTGGATCCTTCTTTTCCCGAGGCACTGCAAACTCTTAAAACTTCTCTTTTTACCCTCCAGTAAAAATCCTTTAGGTAACTTTGCCTTAACTTAACCTGCTCTGACACTTCTGCTTGTAAATGCCATTGGAAGCTCAAAACTGAAATCTCAGCTGTTGTTCCTTGTAAGGGAAGTTCCATTAGATGAGAAAGAAACATACACTAAGTTAGAAATATGCTAATATGTCATTTTTTTTTTCCCCCGTTGAAGCCCTTATTTGGAAGATTTTTTATAACTGTATTGAAACATTGAACTAGCTTGTCAGACTCTAAATGTTAGGTACCCATATTACAAAGTTAGGTCTAAAAATTGGGCCTAGAAGTTAGGTGCAGACAAAGAAATACTGCTGATTCCTTGACCTGGTCGTACACTATTAAACATGAACATATGTAGGGAAATGCCTCTTGCGTTCAGAGAATGTCAGGTGCAGATTCTGTCATGAAAATATTTCTTGCAAATGTTTTTTTTACTAGAACCATTAGGAAGATTGCAGCACTTGTGCCTCTGGTGACGACTGCGAGCCTCAGTGTAAGCGCTGCCGGTCTGAGACGTTGCACAGGAGTTAATGGCCCCTGCCTTGAGCCTCTCATTAATTGCAGTAGGTGGAGAGTGTAAGAAACTGAGTCACAGAAACGGGCCCTTTTTTCCATCTCTCTATATGTGTGCAGTTAGCAGCTTTTATCCGTAATTTTTGCCTGGCCATTAGGATTTGGCATTTGCCACGGCTGTGATGATACAAGTGAGTCAAGGGGAGGGATAGAATGGAGATCAGAGCATGGCCTCCGGGATACAGCCCATTTCACACACAGAGGAATCCAGGGAGAAAGTTGTACTGCTCCAAATATTCCAAGAGTTTTCTTTTTTGCTAGTGGTTTTACAAAAGCTTCCTATGCAAATAATTTGGAGGTGCTTTTGTAAATGGACTTTTAGTTTTCTTTGGGTACCTCCTGTTTGGATTTTGTTCAGGCAGATGTTGGGATGAGTTTGTCAGACCTGAGAACTGGCAACCAGCTCATTTTGTGTAATCTCTTAGTTACATTAACACACATAATGCAGGGAGCAGATAAACTAAATGGTCTTGTCTATTTTAAATTTTAAGCATATGTTTCTTCCAGAAATGAATAGAATTCTAAGATAATTTCAGGCAACCATTAACAGCACCAAAAAAATTGAAAACTCCAAAGTAGGTGCTGGAAGAAAAGTAAGCAGATGCATTTCTAGCTAGCTGATAGGTGCTGGTGAATGTGTAGACAGATGGATTTCTCATTAGACAGACACTTAATTTAGAACGTGTTTATAGCCACTCTGCGTGGTCTATAGCTCTGCAGAAGGTACATCATAGCAATTCAGTGTGCAGATGACAGACATGGATTACTGTGGTGAAGCCTTTGAGAAAACCACTCACAATTTCATAGCCTGTGGCATTTGGGGGAGAAAACTGATAGCTACTATATCACGCAATGGAATACTTAACAATTGGTGGCAGATTTTAACTTTCTGGATGGGCTGTTGATAATTGCTACGTTAATTTGATCTGGTGACCTGGGGAGATCATAATTTCCAGACTGGCTTTGCTTTCATTGATGAAAAATGTGACCTTGGATTGTGGCTTTTGCAATGCAAGACAGTTCAAGATGAGACATGGCTAATGGGAGAAATCTGTACTCTTCTGAAAAAGAAAAAAAAGAAAAAAAATCAAAAACAAAGGCAGAAGCAGCTGCTTCTTAATGGTGTGTGGGTTTCTGACAAGAAAATAAACATTAATGGATCTCCACCAATAGCTGCGGAAGTCGGCACATCAATTTAGCAGCGGCATAAACGTGCACACTTCGCTGCGTCTATTTGTTTTTTCTACAAGAAGTGGCCACCTCAGATAAGCTCCAAAACTTGAGCATTTATCAGATATGAGGTAGTCAGCACTGTAGCTTCAAAATGGGGTTGCCTGCCCGTGCCTTATCTCTCTTAGAAAAAAAATATGCACAACTTCTCCTCTTATGTTTATTAATAGAGTTGGGGCTGCTAAACAGCCTGTGAAATAATTCGACTGGAGTTGGTGAACAGGCCACTTCTTTGTTTCCTATTCGTGTTTCAGAGCTGTCCTCAGCACTGTGATGCAGAATTACAGTACTTAATTGGGAACTTTGATACAGAGATTAGGATTAATACACAAATACGGGAGGCAATTCTTCATTTTCACTTTTACCACTGTGAATTGTTCCCCTCTAGGCTCTGCAAGGTAGGAGGTGAGATCTGAATTGTTTCTCTTTAAAGGCAGTGGGCATGGTAAGAGCAAAATACTAGTTGAGGGTCCTGGTCAGGAACTTATGGACTCTCTGGTTATAGAAATGGTCGTTTGGTTCAATACAATAGAGAGGTGAGTGCTTTTATGAAATAATTTGCTTTTTGCTTCATCCAGCTCCCCAGAGAGAGGAAATTTGGTGATGTCTGTATAATTTCTGCCACCTTTTCTTGTTCCTGCCTTGCCTAAAGAAGAATTTGGCTTACATATCAACGCAGTATCCGTGTAACGAAGGTCAGGGGACAGGAGCTGGTGAGGTGAGGCAGTTTGTGCAATTGGGAGTCACAGACCTGAAGGGGAGGGAGATTGGAGCTGTACCGTGGGGCAGGAAGAAGCAGGAAGCAATATGGGAAGCTCAGCATGGGAAGGAGAAAGGAGATGTAAAAGATCGGTTGAATATCAGTCCATTTCCCTTTGTGAATTACTCACGAGTGTTGCAGGGCTTCGTGCCGCGCTCTGGAGCGCAGAGGTGCCCGTCCTGCTTGCCCTGCTCCTCGGCTGGAGCACACGAGCAGGGCGGGCACAACCCGAGCCCTGCGTGTGCAGCAACGTTTGCTGCTGCAGGGGAGCCCCTGAGCAGTGATGGTTCTTTAACGACTATGTAGGAAATCCTCAAAATAGCAAAGAATGTGTTTTGTAGTCATTTAAAGACAATTTTCTGCAGTCATGAAGACACTTCCTTAACACTGATAAATGTCTCTGTTCTTAGCACTGCTTCCTTCTATATGAGCAGTAATTAAAACCACACTGTGGTGTCAGCTTTGCCTCTCCCTTCTGTTCCTTGACCCCCCTCCTTTTCCAGTAGGATTGACTTTGATATCAGTTTTCTTCTGTATCTTTTTATATAGCTGTGCCCAGAACTAACACACGGTTTTGTTAAAGTATGTTTTGCTCTGTGTGATTGTGTAATTAATATTTCTTGCTCATAAAATTGTACTTTGTAAATAGCGTGAAAAGTAGCTGGTCTGAATAATGAACATCTTTCCAAACTTCAGGTAATGCTTTTTTTTCCTCCCTACAAATCTGTGCAACTCCCCATTTAATTAATTCATACAAAAGAAGAGGGGCTCTTCTGAGTTTACACTGGACAAACCTTAAACTTTCTTTGATTCAAAAGAAGTTATTTACATATGAAAAGCAAATGACATTAAAAAGGTTTTGAAGACTTACATGCTGGCATCTTTTTTAACCTTATCTCTCTGAGTAACTTCTTTGTATTTCGTGATTGCATTTATTGATGTCTGTCTATAAAAGAATATACCAGAACGTGATGTTGAAAGGCACTATAGAAGTTCCTTTAAAAAGATGGTGTGCACGGACTGAAGTTCAGTCACTGTCAACATATCTCAGTGCTGCAAGTCCTTTCTAGGCACAAACCTGTTACTGAGGGGGTGATTTTTTTTCCCCATCTATGTGTATCAGTTAATTCTCTTCTCAGAATTCCTTGTTTTCCCTTGACATCGAGAAAAGGGTATCAGCAGTTCTTTCATTCTGACTTCTTGTTGTCAATCATGTCAAAACTCACCATTTTTTTCCCTCTTCTCTTGTCTGCAGAAAGAACTTCCTCAGATAAAGGATTTTTCTAGTCTTTCGCCTATCCCAGGATTCACAAAATGGCTTGTTGGCCTCCTCTCATCCCAGGCTAAAGAAGTGGAAAGAAACGGACTGTTTACAGAATCAGAATGGCAAGAAATCTCGGAGATCACAGGAGGCCCTCCGGCCGAAAGGCTGAAGAAACTCCTAAGTAACAACGAATGGGTGAGATCAGAGCGGTTGGTCCGAGCGCTCCACTTGCCTCTGATGAGGCTCTGTGCCTGGTATCTGTACGGAGAGAAGCATCGTGGCTACGCTCTCAACCCGGTCGCCAACTTCCACCTGCAGAACGGCGCGGTGCTGTGGCGCCTGAACTGGATGGCAGACACCAGCCCCCGGGGCCTGGGTGCCTCCTGTGGCCTCATGGTGAATTACCGCTACTTCCTGGAGGAGACGGCCCGCAACAGCGCTGCCTACCTGGGGAGCAAGCAGATCAGAGCGTCGGAGCAAGTGCTCTCCTTGGTGTCCCAGTTTCAGCAAAACAGCAAGCTTTAAATACTGTTAAAAGTAAGAGCAAGGGTTTCTCACTGCAAAGAGCTGTGATGCTCTGTGGTGCCTGTGTTCAGTTGAGAATACCCCTTATAACAACCGTATTTGGCACAGCAGGATGGAAAAAGCCTGAGGTGCTGTGATTTAGTCACTACAAGTTCCAGGTATCTTTTATGTACCAGGGAATTGGAGGCACGTACTAGAGAGGGAGCAGAAACCTCATGAGTTATGAGCCAGGGGTACCTTGCGTGGACTGCTCTTCAACCATAGCATTATTCTCTTGATAATAAACTTACAAACCATGACTCAAAGGAGCAGCACCTCGTAGTACTGCTACTACATCAATACAAAAGCACATGGAAAGAAGTACTAAATGAAGGTAATTATTTAGTCAAGTATACTAGCAAAACAATAGTTCACAACTTTATTTTAATATATCTGTGTTTTTCTCCCTCAAGCCCTCTCGTTTAAAACCACCTGGTATTTTCCTTTTTAAGCCCGCTCAAAATATCACTGAGCCCTTGCTCTTTGGGAGCATGGACAAGCTTTATGTTAACGTGGCTGAATATGAGGACCTCTCACTGCAGTACCAATGTAGTGTTATATTTGCAGACTTTTCTGCTAAAATGATGCCCAAAAGGAAGTGCCCTGTTACTCAGGGATCAACTGGGAGTTTTTCAGATCTATATGTTATACTTAAATATTTGATTCTGGTAAATTTTTAAGTTGATAAAAGAGGGATTTTATTGGAAAGGTAGGCATGGCCTATAAATCAATAAAATAAATTTTCTCTATAAATCCTGTGTTGTGTATTTCAGCATGTACCTTGCTTCACTTAACAACCCTCCTTGATAATAATGTTACCAATGAATTATGACCGTCGTCTTAGCAGGTTTTAGTGCTGAGTGTTCTAGAATTTCTGATTTCTTCTCCCTCTGTTCAGACTCCAGTCCTGTTTTTAAGAGAACAATTATACAAAGGAATTGAAAGGAGCTTTTGCCCCTGTGTGAAAGCAGAAACCAAGAGAGCTTTAAGTGTCCAGCCTGCTGGTGACCGGTTTGTGATGGAATCTGTCCTGTGCTACGGTGCTTTCATTGTGGATTTTTAGAATAATGTGCCAAAAAAGAGGCACAGAGTTGAGTACCACTGGCTGTTGAGTATTAGTAGTGTTATTTCATTGTGCATTAACTCTTGGTGTACAGCTGTGCTTGGGGTTTCCAGTTTTCTATTAAAAAGTGATTTTAATAGGAGAATTGCTAAAAGGAAAAAGGAAATATGCACCATCTGTGCTGCTTTCTAGGATGCAGGGCTTGCCATTCATTGCCCTTCGATGCATAAAACCAGCCCCAAGGAGTGGGCACATAATGTTGAGGAAGAGGCAACGGTCCTTTAAGGAATCTGAAACACTAATACATGAAATCATTGCCTCCTAGCACTGCAGTGATATTCTTCAAGCAATGTATATGAAGATGAATTCAGGGTACGTAACACTCTGGAGGAAGCGCGTTGCACTCCTAAGTGAAATCATTTGCAAGTATTTCTGCTTTGCAAATTGCTCCATGGATGAAGAGATAATAAATATATTCTGCTTTTCCTGATTTTTCTCTGCGTGGCAATTTAGGCAGTTTCCTGTAATAGCAAATACTTTTTATTGCCGACCAGTGGAAAGCGTTGCAGCCCCGTGTATGTCATGTTATAGAGCTGGCTGTTCTGATTTGCAACCCCTGAGCGACTGCTGCCCGCAGCGCGACGACAGAAGCTGTCACCGCTCGTGTATCAGATGCGTGCTGCAGCCCTTCCCTTAATTTTCTTGAAAATTAAAGAGCTTTCCAAGTGTTTCGTTGAGGAATTGGCTATTTTGCTGCTATTATGTTAACAAAATCAAAGGAATATCCCTATACTAACAAAGGAGTGGGTGGTAGAAGGATTCTGTTAATAGCTGGAGAGTAATGCTCAAAGCTCTCGTGTGGAAAACACGTATTAATAAAAGGGCAATAGCTTAAAATCTGGCACTTCTGTTTGGCTCTAAACTAGGCTCAGGAAAAACTGAGAATTATGTGGTAAAATCGCAGCTTTCTAGTACTGGCTTATTTGCTCTCTTTGGCAGCCTTCATGGTTTTAATTCTGTGCTCACATCCGAATAGGCTGAACTGGAAGCTTCAGTGCTAGGAGGTAGCAGTGGTTTGGACTGCAGGTATTTAACCCACACCGCTGAAATGTTTGTTACACTCTAGATGGGGATGTAAAAACACAGGGGCCGTCAGCAGCAGCAAAAAATGCCAAGTACCTGGACCTATTTATAATGCAACCTGTTGAATCTGAGCTTTCGTGTCAGAGCTTATTTCAACCCTTGAAGGATTGGGAGGAGGAATGCTGGCTCGTTTGGGTTGGGGTGCATTGTGTTTTACCCTCATTTATTTTTGTGGTTGCCCTTTTGACAACTCGGTGCAGTCTGCAGCACAGGGCAGAGGAAGATCCTCATCAATCACGTTGGCATTCGCTCCTCGTAGAAACGCGCCCGGCTGCAACCCTGCTGGAGATCCCACCATGCTGTAATACGGTGATGGACCAGGTAAGAGGGTGGCTCCTGCCAGCAGGGTTTGCCTTGCAGCCTGACCCTTCAACCTGGATCCCACCTAGGATCAGAGCTTCTGCTACCAGAGCTCCTGTTTCCTCGGGCCTAGAGAGGAGGAGAGTGGAGGCTGCTTTTGGAGGCTCTCTCCTTAGTAAGCAAATAGCTGCTGTGCTGTTAGGTGCAGCATGTAAAAGCATCACGGTTTCACAGCTTTTGAAAGCAAATCAATAGAAGCGATGTTATTTTGTCACTTACGCTTGTTTTATGATCAGGTTATGATCATTTTTTCTTGTCAGAGGCATAGGGTCTCTCTCTGTAGGAGCTGCTGTTGAGCAGGGCCTGTGTTCTGAGATGTGTCCTGGGTGGGAGGTGAGAGTCCAAGGTACAACTTGCATGGAAGATGTTCAGTTTATTCGCGGATACAGAGCCGTGAAAAAGTCCCGTTAAAGCCATAAGTGGTTCCTCAATCAGAAGGAAACTCCATGTCCTTCCCTATAGTTTTCTTTTAAGTTATTAACTGTAGCAACCTAAAAAACCCCATACCTCCTGTGGTCTGTTTGCAGAAAGGAGTGCAATGATTTATTCAACCAGATAGGGTAGTGTAATGGCAGTCTGATTCCTCAACCTTTTGATAAGGAAATGCACCTAGGAGGAGAGAGACCTGAGTTCTGGCCTGTGTGCCTGGAGCAATTTATGCATAATTTAACACTGATTTCTTCAGAAAATATGGAATCAGCAATCACACTGAGTGTCTGTTTTCCCCAAAACTTCTGAATTTTTAAACAATTTTGATAGTAGAGCAGATATCTCCAAAATAATCATTTCCAAACGCAACAAAAATCGTGCAAAAGAGAAAATATTGCTCAGAGGCCAAGGCTCCACCAAGGCTCTGCTGTACATGGGGTGCCGAGGCAATTGCTCTGATTAGGTCACATTCAAGCTAGGCGCCTGTGTTTAGAGAACTGAGCAGCATGCCGGTGGGTTAAGATCAAGATATTTTGAAGTCAGGTTTGTTTTGTATTTAGAACATCTAAAACTGTTCAGAAAAAAAACACTTCTTGGCACTTTATAACTAGTAAGTGTCAGAATCCTCATATACAGTTTTCCTCTTAAAAGAAGTCCGTGTGAGCAGTGATAAGTGCTTGTAGACTGCTGAGATACAGTGCCATGTCACCTGAAACAGCCAGCTAAGATATTAAACCTTGTGCCCTCCCGTTGTGAGTGGAGGCCCAAGGACAGCTTAGCACCACACTCTGTTCCAGTCACTGGTTTGAGCACTGTGTTTTTATGGCCATGCCTGGAAGACATTACCTACCTGATAAGGCTTAGAGTGGATTGTGGGTCACCCAGCACATCAAAGCCTGCTAAAACCCCGCTGAAATTATCATTTTTCATTGACTTTGGATTAGGTACCAGCCCACCCATTAGCTAGTGCTCCTGGAAGGAGCTTGGCTGCCTTCCTAAGGTTTTCTTAATTCCCTCAGAGGTGGGCTGGAAAAAAAAAAAAACACTTTGTATTTTAGCCAGCTTGTTTCTTAATATCAACAAGGGTTAATTAAGGTCCTGTGTCAAGTCCTGGTCCTTTCAGTCTGGGCAGAATGCTCAGAGAAGGGTTCCAAGTTCCCTTCTAATTTGACTTGCTAAGTGCTGGTATCTGCCCATCTTACTTAAGCACTGCTGTTGTAGTCAAGGCCGGGTTGGTTCCTGCAAGGAATCTGAGGTTTGGGTTGTTTTGGGAAACATCAAAAGGGTGCATTGCATTTTTGTATTATGTGCAGTGCTTTCCAGTGTCCCTCTCCTCCTTTTTATTCTACCTTCTATGAAAGGATGATAAAGATAATCTCAGAAAAGCAGCACTAGTTCCTGAATCAGATAAACTAGGCAGAGGTTGGAATGATAGGAACCCAAGGAAACAAGAGATATCCTTGCTCCGTTTTTAAGAAACAGCAATCAATAAAGATTTTTCTGTTGCAAATGTTGAAAATAATAGACTTTTTTTTTTTGAAATGGCTGCAAATACATAGGAAAATTGAAATAGTTAATTTGCCAAAGCATATGTGTCAAGTTCCCACCCCAATGTGATTCTTTTAAAACCAGAGAACCTCTTAACTCAATTATTGTTGATTAAACTGGAATCATTTGCTGAATCTTAACTGGATTTGGAATTTGGGAGTCCTGTGGGGAGAGAGAGAAAGATGGAGAGGGGAGGAATGAGAATTGACCCAATCTAGATAATTTCTGCTTAATTGCAGAAAAAGGAAACAATGCAAAAACTTTATATAGTGAAAATAAAACATTAAGTCTTTACAGTCTGTACCTAAGAATATACTAAAATGGACTTTATGTTGCATAACAGTATTTAAAATGCAATTCAATTTTTAAGATGCATTTGCTTAATCTTTTTATTTATATTTTTTTTCTTTCCAAAGAATATTCTTCTGACAAGCTGGCCTGGAAAGTTCCTACACTTTTACTGTATGCTGCTGTGAAGAGAAATAGGAGAAGTTAAAAAGGTGGCTCTTCCACTCTA